CACTCCCCTCCACCTGCTGCTCCTGCTGACACTGACATTTTCCTATTTTCTTGCCCACCACTGCTGCTTCTCCGCTGCTCTGGCACCATGTGGTTCCTGGCTGCATTGCCAGTACTGCAGGATGCAGCAGAAGCCAGCCTGGCCCTGGAGCAATCACCAGTAGTCCTTCACCCCCATGTTCTTAGCTGAGTTGCACTCCCAGATGAAGGGGAGACAGGGGAATAACCCCAGGGTTGCCAGGCCAGGCCAGAAGCCTGCTAGGCAGAAGCTTCTGGTTGCGAGGAGGAGGTGGGGAGGGCTGTAGGTGGACAGGGCCAGGCAGGCCTTGCTGCTGCAGCTGCTGGGTCCTGCCACCAGCTCCCCCTGGGTTCTGCTGCCACTGTCACCTTGTCATCTTTGGCAGGCAGCCAGGGGCAGATAATAATTAATTTTCTAAATTTTTCAGGGGCCCCATGAGCCAGATAAAATGGCCTGGCCATTCCTGTTCTAAACCATCTGTTCCTAAAGGTAAAAAAAAACAATGTTCCAAGGTTTCTGTAACTCCTGGAAATAGTTCCATTCTTGGACACTTCTTTCCTACTTAGGAATAGCCTTCCAGATATTCTTAACTGCTAATTCACCATACATTATTCACCAAGCTGCTTCTTTATACTTATAGAGCACATCTACATGTTACCTATGTCACCGAAGCGACACACTACGTCGCTGTGCTTCATTTTGCTCCCCTATGCTTGTCTTTTTCCCCCATAGGCATGGTACTACTTGGCCTACTCCTCTAAACTGATGTGCTCTCCCTCTCCCCCTCCCCTCCCCAGCAAGATCAGGATACCTACCATAGTCCCAAATAACACTCCTTTGTCCACAATTTCATGACGAAAATAACTCCCTCCATCCTCCTCTCCTTTGCCCAAACCTAACCCTAGCCATGTTTGCCATATCATAGGCAGGCCCTGAGCCTCACTCCCTGAGTGCAATCCTAATTCCACCCACCTTCCCTGTCTTTTGGCCAGCCCTACTTAACCCTCATGCTATCCACCCATACTGCTGGGAACCTAACTAGTGTGTAGCGGCTATGAGGGTGTAGGTTGTAGCTGTGTTGATCTAAGGACATAGGCAGACAAGGTTCTTTAGGTAAATCCGATAACTTTTATTAGACCAACTCAAATAGTTGGAAAAATTCTTCTTAGCAAGCTTTCAGTCACAAACACCCTTCATCAAGCTGAGGAAGCGTCTGTAGATGGTCTGTGCTCTTCCTGGATGGAGTGGTAAAGTATCCAGAGACCAGTACGTATGCAAGAAAGCCAGTCAGTTAAAATGTAAATTGAGGTGGTCTGCAGGTGAGACCCGGGCGGGGGGGTGGATTTCCCCTTCCCCTTGCTTTTTTTCTGCCCATCCTAAGCCTGAGACCATCTCCCCCAGCTAATTCCTTCCCTGGGGAATCCATAGTTTAATGTGGATTGTCAGCCCCAGAGATGGTATAGGAACTGTCAGGCATTGGATAAAGGTGATGAGAATTGGTGGGAAGCAAGTGCCCACACTGGCTCCTGCTGCTGCTGCTCCCACCCCACCTGCCTGTCCCACGGTTTCCCAGTAGGGTTTTGTGAGCAGCCAAACTTCACACCCTGCCCCCCATCCACATGCTCCCATGCCCAGCCATGCACAAGCAGGACCAAAGTGAGCCTCTTGCCCCACCCCACTCAGTGCTGCAGCTACCCCTCCCTACCTGCTGCCCAGACCACTGCAGCAGGGACAGGATGAGGAGTCGCTGGAGGCCATGGGAGCCCATTAGTTTCCTGGGAAGTTGCAGCAGTGGTAGCAGCAGCCTTGCCTTGGAAGCTGTGCCTGCTGGCAGGGGCTGAGGCCCACTGGTGAGGGAGGCTGGGAACGCAGCACACGCTGCCCCAGGTAGAAGCGGATGGGACTTGGTCCCAAACAGAGCACAGCAAGTACAGCCATATAAAATTAATGGGTGCCTGCTTGTGAGTCCGATCCAATCAGCTGGTGGGCTGAATCCGGCCTGCAGGCCATATTTTGCCCACCCCTGCTCTAAGCTGTGTTGGCCGGAATATATGCAAAAGGTTACCTTCATGCATATGTGGTGGAATTACTCCTTTATACAGGGTTTCCAGATTTCTGGAAGAAAAAAAACATTTACAAAATAACTGGCTTATTGCTTCCTCTTTCACCCCAAAATTTTCCTCCTTGGGATATTTCCCAATCATTCAACCATGAATCACTGCAGATCACTATGCACCTACCTTATCTCAGCAGCTCAGCATGATACAGCTTGGAAACAGGCAACCCCACCAAACAAGAGAGAATGGACAGAAAAGAATATGGTACATATTCACCATGAAAAAAACTATCTGCTTTGCTAAAGGACATACATGAGGACTTTTATGCCACCTGGTTGCCATGTTACAACTGTCTAACACAAGGACTATAAACACATCACAGGCATACTGCAATGTGGAGATACAAGCCGATTAAAAAATGAAGACGGCACGAAACATAGTTGTCTTCTTTCTAAGAAAAACTTAATGGGCAGTCACTTTGAGAGAAACCACTGAAACATGTAGATGATCACAGCTTGTGCCCCAAATGTGCTTTTTATTATGTTTTCTTTATAGATATGTTTTTGATATGACATTAACAACAATAGTAGTAACAACAACAACAACAACAACGTAGCTTTGTTGTTGTTGTTGTTTTCAAACAAATAAGTGAGATTCCTTTTGAATTTCTTTGGGCTGTACAGCATGGTGCATCTCCCATGCCCAACCTGGTACTGCTGGGATTTGTTACCAGGGCCTCCCATACAGGACTGTCCTAATATGTATGGTGCTTGAGGGGCTTCGTTGTTGGGGACTGATACTGGCTGACGAGCTTCTAGTGGTTGGTGACAGATTAGACATTTTTGAAGATGTCCAACTTTCATGTGGTTGCTTCTTCATGGTCAGTTGGTGATATGCTTCTGGAGTGGCAGGGTCAACTCAGTACAGGAATCCAAAGTGGTCCTGTCCATCCTGAAGTTCTGCCACCACTGTTTATTGTCTCAAGTCCTTAGGGCTATCCACTCCCAGCTGTCAGTGCTCATTTCCCTGTCCCAGAAGTGACAGTAAACAGACTGCAGGTAGTCCCAGAGAAGGCCATCTTCCATGGTGTGCTTCACTTAATCCTCTTCAGTCGTGCAGCTTTCAAACATGAAGAACATGTAGCATAATGCAAGAAAGGAACTTTTTGAGTGCCACGGTCATGGAGCCTTGAGCTGTCATGCTGTATGTAGCATACCTGTTAGCAGATGTATTGGACAAGGTGTGAAAGCCTGCCCAAGTGTGTGAGGTCTCTCCACCTTGAACATGAATAAAGTCAGTGAGAGGAGAGGGTGAGAAGTACTCATAGATTTTCTCCTCTCCCTGGGAAGGTGATGCATATAAACCTGCAGTGCAGAAAGGACTGAGCAGAAGCTTGAGGAGATCAAATACCCATAAGACTTTGCCATGCCCACCCAGCTGTCCTCAGAAGCCTCCACAGACACCTGCTCACTAGCCCCCTAGTTGTGGAGTAGCACAATAGCATGAGTTCACCTCACTGGAAGGGAATTCTCCAGGAGCATAGCAATACGTGCAGTTGGCTTGAAAGGCATGGCTGATACCCAATTATATATTTGGGGCCAGATTTGATTCCACCTAGTAAGCATCTAAGGCTACTTACAGATATAAAACAAACAAACAAACAAATGGCACTTTACTTTAAACTTGGCATGCCCCCACACTGAGCCCAGTGCAACAAGACTTTTGGGGGGCATTTATCTAATAGCTGATTGAATCAGCTATTAGATAAAAGTGCCAGAAAGCCCTGCTGAAGCACCCAATCTATACAGAGGCGGTGGAGCTGGGCTGAACTAATTCTCTGCTTCTTCTGGTAAAGCACATTTTGGGTTTTCCCCCCACATCCATCAGCAGCCTAAGTGAACAATAATCACACTAAGTACTGTTCAAGTCCCTGAAAATCCATTACTTCTGCAAACAGAGGCAGCGGAAGGCCAGGGCTAACAGGACTTAGCTCCTCAAATGTGGAGCAGTGGGTAGGGCTGCAGGGCAGCCTGGCCACAGGCTATGGGCTGCTGCAGCAGGGGGGAAGGGGGAGGGGCATGCACACACAGACAAGCAGCCAGGATCACAGCCCCAGTGTGTGGATTACTGCCCAGCACAGCAGCCAGCCTACTCTGTGAAGGGGAAGGCTTGGGGGAGGGCAGATTGAGGCCCCCACAGTATGGGAGGGAGTGGGGCAGAGGCAAAGGCAGGGGTGAATGGGGCCCTGGCCAGGTTGTAGGACTCTTGGAGCCTCGGGCAGCTCATTGGGGTGGGGGGAGGGCAGGGGCTTGCGCCACTGCATGCATCCTGCACAAAGCATCCAAATGAGCTAACTGTTATAGGTGTCTGAGCCTGATGCCATACAAATGAGCTACTGGATGAAGCAGGATTAAAGTTGGAGGGGGCTTGCTACACTTGCATAGCTATAGCCTCATGCACGCGTAGCAGTTAAGAGTGTAACAGCTCATATATATGCTCCTGAACAGAATTCCTTTCCCATTTGAATCTTCTACAGATATGTTCATCCATACCCTAAATCCTACATGCTTATTAGGTGGAATATAATCTGAACTTTGTCTCTTAAGGGTGTTAAACACTGATGTAAATTAGACTAGATAGAGGGCTCCTGTAACTTACATGGACCTGGGCATACTTGCTAACATGGTACTCAGCAGCCCAAACATCAAGAGAGCATGAAGGTGGACTTTATGCTGTCTTTGCACCGTCTCATACCCAACCAGTATTCTATACACTTTAGCCCTAGGTAAAGACCTGTTTTCTCATTTATTTTGAAAGAATGCTGGAAAGATGGAAGACTAAACCAAACTGATGTTGGAACACTGCAAATATCTTTAGGACAGACACCTATTTGGCAAAATGAACTAACTTTACAGCACCCTTTACAATCACCATGCTACTACACATATCAGATTCATACAAAAACACCAAATAATTTTCAAATGTGTTAATTATGAAGAATCTTTTGGCAAAACCAAATTATCACAGTAGTACTCCAAAATAATTCAGAAGTTACAAATGCAGTTTATTTACAACAGCTCTTGTTGCATTTATTATTTAGGAGAGGCGATCAGAATTCATTTTCCGAAGTTTGGCAGGAAGATTATCCTCTAGCCTTGACCCCAAGGTGAGCATACCCGGAGACTTTTGCTGGAACTGAAGATTTCCAGTAGACTGAGTCAAGTTCTCGGGTTTGATTTTAAAAGCCTTTAGATGTATTCTTCCATCATCATCTTCACTGCTGGGCGTAGAACTTACTTGCTGAATTTTTAAGAGATCTCCAGTGCTGCAAGCTTTCTCTACATTGCTGGAACTCATTCTCAGGACTCTTTTCTGAAGGTCTTCCTTTGTTGAACAAATTTTCTGAAGTTTATTAGGAAGCTTGTTTTTCTCTTCTAACATATCAATGCAGTCAAGAGAGAAGATCTGTTCCCTTCTGCTTCTATTGTTACCAATGGGAGTATCCAAAGGGGATGGTAGAGACAAGTTTTCTTCCTGTTCCTTTACACTGTAAGGCAGAGTGGGGACTTCAAATGTGGCATGAAACTGAGAGTAATCTACACGAAAAAAGCCATCCTCTAAGGACATTACAGGGAGAAATCTATGGCCCCAGAGGACTTCATCCTCTGTGTAGGAGGTCCTAGCTTGGCATGTCATTCCTATTAAAACATACAAAAATATCAATATTATAAAATGCATGCATAGATTAATATATGACAGAAAATATATAATGAGAGTACATAATAAAATCAATCCTTTTTACAGCTAACAAATACATGAAAAAGAATCATCTAACAGTTAATATTTGACTAATTCTTTTGTGTAATCATGCCAAACTATTATAGTTTGAATAACAGGTAATGTGGGGCATAATTAAGATGAAAGCAAACATACATTTTAGGACTTTTGTCTCAGAGACACTGGTCTGATATTTTATTGATACTAGCATCTCTGAGATGTCAGGTTAGAAGTGAGCTGAAAGATTTATTACATAGCGGAAGTGGGAGGGGAGCCTCATGAAATGATCATGAAAGTCTAGCCAATCTACTCCAATCTTGCCAAACAAAAATCTTGATCAAAATAAATACAAAGTTTTCCAGGAGAGAAGAACTTTGAAATACTAAGTACACAGATTCATAACTAATTAAAAGAAATACTAGGACTGAAGAGAAGGAAGCATCAAAATTAAATGAATAGGTAGACCATATACTTTGTCAAGAATCTTACCAGTAGTTTCAACAATCCCCTCAAGGATGACCACTATCTCAAATTGCTCACTTCTCAGTGATCTTTGTGATAGACAAAAAAAGGGGCTTTTTGAGTTGATTTCATGACATATTGTTAACGGAGAAACTAAAAACAGTTGGTCAGCTCCAGTTCCAAATCCAACATCCAGCTCACATTGATCTAATGGCAGGAATTCCCCTTCTGGTGTCTGTCGGGACTAAATATAAAAAGATAGTTAGAGCCTATTATGTAACATAAAAAACCATAATACTGTGACTAGATTTAAAAGCACAACTCTGATAACAATATTTAATACAAAAGCTATGTGTTTTGTTACATAGAGATATGTGCATTATACAATATGGGAACAGTATATACAGACTTATCTTGTTGTTACTTACCACTCCACTAGACTTTAGTATATATAAACTTTACAAGAAATTTTATTGACTCTTCAGATCAATTAGCATTTTGTCTTTGAAGTTACACTCTGTTTAATGATTCTTCCTAAGATGCACTTAGTGTGCATTTAAACAAATTAACGTGTGCTATACTAATGCCATTTAGTCAGAATGCCACATGGCATTATTAAGCCTTGCTGGAGTACTGATTAATACGACCATTCATTAGGACATATACTAATCAGACTTAGTTGAAGTATTGACCAATGTAGGCCTTACAAGAGCTCTGACTGATACATAAACTGCTTACACAAGCTTAAACTGGAATAAGCATATACAATTAGGTTATGTAGACCCCTCACAAAGCTAATAAAGAAGGCTGGTAAGACTGATAGATAGTTCAGGACACCAAAATAAGGATGAAAGGTACAAGGGTTAAAATAACCTGGTATAGATGTTCTATTATTTGTTAGCAACATGCTACAGATGTGCATGATGTAAACGAAGGATGTCAAACATAGCCTTGTCATTTGGCCCATGGGACTCCTGGAGAGGCTGGGAATTTAGGTGTGGGGTGGGCTGGGGTAGGGCCCACCACCAAAATCCAGGATATGGAGCCCTACTAGGGATGTGTGTCAGTAGCAGGGGGAAAGTAATGGCTGGATTAATAATTCTTGTGGGTCCCCAACACTGCCTAACCTGCCACTGCCTGTCTGCTGCTACTGGAGGTAAATCTGGATTTGGCCCATGAAGAGACCCACAGTCTGGATCTGGCCTGGGATGTAAAACCAATTTGACATTCCTGAAATATTGTTACATGTTACAATTACTGTATACTAACGGCATTTAAAACACAAGCATCCCAATGTTAAAGCAGGAAAATCTGGGGTCTTGTTCACTAAAGTCAACAGGAATTTTACCTTTGACTAATATTTTCACTTGAGAGGTTTTTGTCTTTAAGTTTTTGAGTGACTCTCTCTTCCTTACTAGTACCACAAAAACAGTAGAATGCTTGGTTGTCTGGCAATTATATAATCAGTCAAGCAGCTAATTAGGTATTTTGGCTTTATTTAAGATGATACCAGTGTCAGTCCTTCAAATACTAGTGTGTTTTTCATATTTTTCTGCTACAAAAATGTGAGTTTTTATCCAGATAATCAAGCTTCCCCTCCCTTAGACAGAAATTACTGTTTCCACATGACTGATGAAACCAATAAAAATGTTAGTAGTATATACCTTTTAAAAACATTCTGGGTGAGTTTCCATGCTTTGAAGCTCAAACAAATGACACCACTAGAAACTGACAGATTTCTGTCTTATAGGGATAGACATTACACATAAACTGGTTTAAGTGATCAGGAACTGGTTTAAAACTGTAACAGAACATGTTCAGTGCACATAAACCAGTTTGAAAATGGCTGAAACTGGCTTGAGATAAACCTGGTTGAATGTAGTATCAGACTTAAGTGATTTCGGTCAAACCAGTTTATGCAATGTCTGTCCCAGAACCCTTCCTGGTTTAAGGTAAATCAGAATCCTTCAGCATCCCAGATGCTTTGCAACCCTGGGCAGGGCTCTGCTCTCTGCAGCTGGCCCCTTCCCTCTGCTCCCTGGCTGCAGCTCTGGCAGAGACTTGCAGGCACAGCAGGGTCTGCCTGGCTTCCTCCAGCTCCACCCCCTACCCCCCACTCCCTGCTCACCACTCTCTTCTCCCCACCCCCTCCCCTCTGCCCTACACAGACACCTCTCAGTATTAGCATACCACATGATGGCTACAGTCCTACTGAATACGGAGGTGAAGCCCACAGTTGACCCCCGTGAAAAGGCAAAGCTCCTTAATACTTACTTTGCATCAGTATTCCTGAAACCAGGTGAGAACTTGTCACCTGTCTAGAGGCACAGAGAATACGGCAATGATAGCAGTCCACATAAAATCAGTCCCGAACAGGTTCAGATACTTTTAGGTCATATGGACATTTTCAAGTTGGCTGGGCCAGATGACCTTCATCCAAGAGTGTTGAAGGAACTGGCTGAGCTCATAGTGGTGCCTCTGGTGAGGCTGTTCAAAGAGTTGTGGAACTCAGGAGTGGTCTCGAATGATTGGAAGAGGGCTAATATGGTACCCATCTTTAAGAAAGGAAAGAAGGATGACCCTGCTAACTATAAACTGGTCAATCTGACTTCGATCCTGGGAAAAATCTTTGAAAAAATTGTCAAGGAAGCTATCAACCACAAGCTCGCACCTGGTCAGGTAGTGAGAAATAACCAGCGTGACTGTGTCGAGGGGAGGTCATGCCTAACAAACCTGGTGTCCTTTTATGACCAGGTAATTAACCAGCTGGATGTGGGACAGGAGGTGGATGTCATCTACCTAGATTTCAGCAAGGCCTTTGATACTGTTTCCCATTAAATCCTCTCAATTAAATTGGAGAGTACTGGCCTAGACCAGGCTACAACGAGGTGGGTTGGCAACTGGCTCAGCAGCCGATCCCAGCGAGTGGTAATTAATGGGGTGGCCTCATCCTGGAAGGCTATCTCCAGTGGTGTCCCCCAGAGATCAGTGCTTGGACCTATGCTCTTTAACATGTTTATCAATTACTTGGATGAGGGAGAGAAAAGTGCAATGCTTAAGTCTGAGGATGATACCAAGCTGTGGGGATAAGCAGGCACATCCAAGGACAGGACAAAGATCCAGGATGACCTTTACAGGCTGGTTCTATGGGCTGAATGCAATCAGATGAGGTTCAACAGGGACAAGTGCCAGGTCCTTCATCTGGGTAGAAAGAACCCTTATCATATAGATATGATGGGTGGTGGTTCACTGGCTGGCACTGCATCTGAAAGGGAGCTGGGGGTGACAATTGACCAGAGGATGAATATGAGCCACCGGTGTGATGAAGTCGCCAATACAGCAAATAGAACTCTGGCATGTATCAGCAGATGTTGCAAACAGATCCAGAGAGGTGCTCCTCCTCCTCTAGTCAGCATTGGTGAGGCCACAGCTAGAGTACTGTGTCCAGTTCTGGCAATCACACTTCAAGAAGGATGTGGACAAGCTTGAAAGGGTGCAGAAAGGGGCACCCATATGATCAAGGGCCTGGGGGATAGGCCTTGTGAGGAGAGACTTTGGGATTGGGCTTGTTCAATCTGAGTAAAAGAAGGCTGAGAGGTGACTTGATACCCGCCTACATATATGTCAAGGGAGAACACCAGGATCTGGGAGGGCAACTTTTCAGAAAAGCACCTCTTGGGAGGACAAGGTCCAAAGGGCACAAGCCAGTCAAGTAAAAGTTTAGGCTAGACATAAGGAAAAACGTCTTTTCCGTACAGGTAACTAGAATCCAGAACATACTTCCAGCAGAGGTGGTGCAGTCACCAACCCTGGTGTTGTTCAAGAGGAAGCTGAACAAGCAACTCGTTGAGCTTATGTGAGCCCAATTACCTCCTGCCCATGGCAGAGGACTGGATTTGATGATCTTACAGATCCTTTCCAGTCCTTCTTTCTAAGATTCTATGACTAGGTCTGGGTGGATGTCGGGGCATGGGCATACAGGGTGCTTTTGAGGGTAGTGTTTGAACTGGGAAGAAATTCTATGGGAGACTGACAGAAGCTGCTGCTGGTATCTGTGGCTGGGAGGTGCCATTGCTGAAGGCTGGGGAGGGTAGCTTACTCCATGGTGCATTGTGGAAGGGAGCTGGGCAAGACTCATGGTGCTCGGGAGAGGTCCCAGAAGACTGGAAAAGGGCCAATGTGGTGCCAATATTTAAGAAAGGGAGGAGGGAGATACCTCAATCCTGTTGAGGGTGCTGCTGGCCCAGAACTGTAAGGGATACAGCTGACACTGTGTAGGGAGCCCTTGATGGATTCCTTTGATATGGGTGGTGCAATAGGATTAAGTTATCTAGATGCAAGCTAAGCTTTTGATACCATGCCTCATGGGAAATTATTGGCTAAAGTGGAGAGGATGACTGGAAAGAATGGCATCAGTGTTACAATCATGAGGGGGATAAAGCATATGTTTAAAGGAAGCCTGCAGCAGGTTATGCTGAAAGGGGAGTTAGCTGATTGGAAGACAAGTACCAGTCATTGTCCACAGAGAGCTATCCCTGATATTGAGACTAGTCTTGAGCAGCCTAAACCATCCATGCACTACATGCCCTTGATGATTTGTCAAGTTGTAGCACTAGAGTCTTGCCCCCACCATGCCCATTAATTCATATGCCATTCCTCTCACTGCCTACAGTGGTGCTGTGATGCTGTTACAGGTACTTGTGTTAACCATGCAATCCTCCTCCTCTGAGTGCCTGAGACCCACTCACCAAGAAGCACACTACAGATGCTCAGGACTGCCAGCTGCCAGTAGCATAGGTGCACAGTTCCACTTGTACTATGATTAACTTGAGATAAAGTCTAAGGCAGGACACTGAGCAAAAGGGAGGGGCTGGGTTGGTGTACTACAGTCAACTCCCAAACCTGACTGTAACAAGGCGCCACTCCTAGGGCTGTGGAAAGCCTTTCGAGGCACCCTGGAGTCCCCCTTTTTCTGCCTCACTCTGGGAACAGTCTCCCCTTCACTAGTCTGCCATGTCTTGATGTTCCTTCTGGTTCTCAAAAGGAAGGCTGCTCCAGGACTTCCCATATCTGGTCTCACTGTAAGGAACACATGGGAGGTATGGAGGTATGGAGTCTTAAGGGCTAATTGCATAGCTCTATACTATCCCTAGACCATGCCCATGTGTCACAGATTTTGAATCTCCAAAAATGGATAAGACCCTTGACCCAGTATCTCCAAGCCACTCTAAGCCTTTCTTCTCC